CGCGGCCCACAGACGGGCTGCTGTCCTGACGTCTTGCAGAGGCATCAAGAGCAGATCTCGTGTGCCCCCAATCGTGTGGACTTACTTGCACACGGTCTCTAACGCGCGTGGGCGGGAGCAGTCAAGAAAACGTCAACGAGTTGACTGAACACGCGCGCAGGAACTCGTCGAGCGGGCACGATGACACACACGTATGGTGCACTATGCGTCGAATGCGTGCACGGTCGGGCGGACGACGACGCTCCAGGCAGTGCACAATGAAAACGAGCGCCTCGAGGCAGCTCGGAAGTAGCTTCGACACGACTACGCGGTCTGTTGTCGGAGAGCGCTTGCGAGTAGTGGCGCGCCACGGGCGGCCACAGAGCAGAGATTTTCCAACAGATATACCCCACTGGAAACCGAGCGAGTGACCAGTTGACTGTGTCATATTCCTGTGCGAAGAGCTACGAAGTGCAGTCCATTCCTTCCAACACACCGGTCGCTCGTCACGCGACGTCAACGAGCACTCGACTCGGGTGCCGGTGTGTCAATCAACTCCGACTCACGCCTCGATCTCGCCGTCAGTAGAGCCCGTCCTCTCTCGACCAGCGGCCCCGAAAGTCGATCCTGGAAACCGGTTGCACCTGTCGGCCCGAAATCTCGACGACGCAACCCCTCAGCGGTTGACGTTCGCGGACGAACTCGGTCGACTCGACGCGATCGAGTAACTGACTGACCCACCGACCAACGCGGACACCCACTGACGGCCGTCTCCCGGCAGAACACCGATCGACTTTCCAGAACGTCCCGCAGCTGCTGCACGCCCATCTTTGCTCGAGTTCCCCGTCGCCTCGCGCGTCTGTTCCACGCGTCAACGAGTCTGAATTTTCCTACTCACCCGCTGCCTGCGCACCTGTTGTTGGTCATAGACCCACACGCACACATACACGTCGTCGTCGTCGTCGTCGTCGTCGTCGCTGTCGTCACTCCGTGCGAGACAATGAGCTGGAACCCGCAGCGCTGGGCGCCCATCGTCCTGGACACGACGCCGGAGAGCGGCTCCGAGTGTCTCGACCGACCAGAGCTGCTGCTGTTGGGTGCAGTAGGGGCAAACGCCTTTGCCGTGGACAGCGTGCAGTCCGTCAAGTGCAGCATCACGACGCCGCCCCAGTCTCCGGCACTCGACGTCGAGCAGCGCCGATCCAGACACAATGCCAATGAACGCCGACGGACGAACGCGCTGAAGGTACCGTGACGCTCTGAGGCAGCAAAGTCTCTATACTTCGTCTTCGCCTGCGTCTTCTTCTTGCTACGAGCAGTTGGTGGCGTGCATGTTCCCCCTCCCCATTCACTTATCCACTTGATGCACTGCTGTGCCACTGGACGCCAACTCATTCCGACAATTGCCGCGACCTCTCCACGTCCTGTGTTCGTGTGCTTAGATGCGGCTCTTGCACATGCGAGAAGAGATGGAGACGCTCGAGGACCAGCGGTCGAAGCTGAAGAAGCGCGACCCGCTGCTGCAAAGCCCAGTGCTGCTGGACACGATGACGCTCATCGACGAGCTCCGACAGGAGCAGCAGGAGCTCAACAAGAAGCTGCGTGCGTGTGACCTGCAGAACAGTACGTTCCAGACGATCGTGTCCGAGTTCGGGGCCAATGCGTCGTCCTTCGGGGTCGAAGACGATCGAGAGGAGACGGCAGAGCACACGGACGTGCACCACGAGCGACTCGCGCCGGCGCCGATCTTCCAGCGCGTGCTCTTCCGTCGTCCCTTGTCGCTCGATGCCGTCATGGCGTGTGTGAAAGAGAGCTACGAGTCCATCATGGCGTTCCGTGCCGAGCGCGACTTTGAGTCCCTCGACGAGGAAGTGCTGGGCTGGAGTGACAAGCGCCTCTTGAACGCCAGGTCGCTGCGCTTTATGCTGTCGCAGCAGTTCGAGTGCGTGTCGCCATCGGAGCTCGTGTACAAGACGTGGAACATCCTCACGCACCTGGACCTCTACCGGTCCATGCAGCCGCGCACGGTGGCCCTCGAGCTGCTTCAGCGGGTGACTGACGACTGCGTCATCGTGCGTCTGAGTGTGAGCAACGGCGACAAAGTGCACCACTCGATTCTGCTCATCGCGCGCGGACGGATTGACGGTGGCTACCTCATCACATACCGCTCGATCCCGCTATCGTTAGGGCAGCAGCAGTTTGCAGCGATGGAGGGCACGTACGTCAATCTCTTCAACTGGTACGTGTTTCTGGAGAAGGGGACATTGACGGGCGTCTCAGCGTGCGAAGTGACTTTCGGCGGCAGCGTTGAGAACCAGTCGATCGAGTACCTGCGGTACCTCATGATGGAAGTCGTAGCGGGGGTCGTGCGCTGGCAGACGGCAGTGGGTCATAACAAGTTTCGTCTATCGCAGAGTTGACGACGCGGTACTGAGGGAGTGCAGGAGCTGGAGGTCAATGTGTTGTACAGTGCACGTGCGTTACGTCTGTCAGTCTGAATGTATGTGTGTAGCAATTGGCGCCGTCCTCTCAAGGCAGAAACAGGGGGAGCCACGTCCAGTAGCGATCCGGTCGTAGTATTTAACCAAACAAGTTGTGATGCACATGACTGCAACATGTCGAAAGGCTCGTGCACTCTCGTGGCTCGAAAGTGCATTGACGTGACAGTATTCTCCTCCTCACCTTCGAGCGACGTCTGGACACACACGAACATGTGCGTACGTGCGCTGTCCGCTCGACAACAACTCGACACATAGTGGCAAAACACGCGACCAAACGCTCTTCACTCGAGGGTTTGTTTGCTACATCTGCTACGATGACGACTACTACTACTACTACTTCTTGCTCTGATACATTCCACGTTGCAATGCCGGTGATGATGATGATGATGATAGCTCCTGTTTGCTGTCCATTCGTGTTCGTGGGAGCTGAGACTGCGTCCACCGTCACGTCAGTGCCTTGTTGACAAAACCGCAAGAATGGAGACAGTCATCGAGCTGCAGAGCATGTCGAGCCACGTTGACGCGCGGCTGCTGCCCGCCTCCTCCAATTGAGTCGCGTCCCGTTCTCGCTGGCACTTCCTTCTTCTTCTCCTTCTTCTCTTCTTCTCCTTCTTCTTCCTCCTCCTCGAGACTCGGCCACGCTCTCTCACTCGTCCGACAGCAAAGACTTGACGTCCAGCGGCGAGCGCTCTGCGAGGTCTCCAGGCGACGTGTGGATCGCCAGATCGCTCAAGGACGCTTGCCCGGGGGGCGAGACGAGGAACAGCATCGTGTCGTAGTCGTCGGCAACGGGCAGCAGCGCCTTGACAAAGTCCAAGTCGCACGTGTACTTGATGACCCGTTTGTTGGGCGCAAAGAAGAACGTGTCGCGAATCGGGTAGCAGATCTCCTGGCCAACGAGTCTGCGGCACAGCTCCCGGTTGTCGGCAATGTGCGGGAAGAGGTGGACAATGGTCGTGGGCGACACGCGCACGCGCAGGTTCGCCCGCGTGGTCACTGCGAGCGTCTCGTCGGTGTCGACCACGTCAATGTCGACGAGCTCGAGCGTCAGCGACTCGTGCCACGCGGCCCACGCTCGCCACCCATTGAGCAGTGCACTGACGCCCAGCACGAAGCGGCCGCACCAGTCAAAGACTTCGACGTAGGGGTCCATGATGCAGCGAAGGAACTCGCACTGGGCGTCCGGCGTCGGCTGGTTGGCCACCGCCAGCTCGCGCTTGTCGCCTGCAGCGCTCGCCAGGTCGAGAGCGACGGCCGGCGGCATGCCGTGCCGGAACACGGTCATGTACTCGCAGACGATCTGGGCGAGCGAGCCCGAGACCGACCCGCGCGCGTAGACCGCCTGTTCTCGCCGCAAGTTGCGCAGGATCTCGAGGTCGCGCACGTCGACGCGCAGCGCGTGGACGATGGCCTCGAGCTGCTCGGAGTAGAGCTTCTGCCGCTCGCGGCACTGGCGACTGCGTTCGGTCGAGAGCGCCCGAACGCGGCTGGACGGCTTGAGCCGTTTCGCACGGGGTGAGTCGTGGGGGGCCATGAGGACCAAGAGACGCGAGTCGTCGCTGCTACAGGGCGACATGGAGAGGCGGTGGCGCCAAGCGGCCGAAGACGGGTGGAAGCTCGTGGACGTGGCGGCGGCGGCGGTGGAAGGCGACGTCCGTGTTGCTGCGTCGTCACTCGACCACATGGTCTCGTCGGACGTTGCAACTGGCAAAATGAGCAACGCAGACGCATCTCCGTGGGCTGCGGCTGCGTAATCCCAGTGACTGACGTGCAGGTTCGCCACGGGGTCTTCCTGCAGGCCGTGATCACGGATCGTGGAGTCGCTGGGTCGATTTCGGTGACGCATCTCGAGCGAGCGAGAGGGCGACGGAGCTCCGAGACGTCAGGGACGGGGAACGAGGTCTGGTCCGCGAACGAATGAGCAGCGCGAGGCTTTTTCTGTCGACGCGCGTGTCCCGACGGGGTGAACGAGCTGCACGTCAAGACCAGTGACACGATCGACGCAACGGGAGTGGCCGCTACGAGTGTGGCCGGTCTCGGAGTGCAAAGACGGCGCTCGAGCGAGCAAGCGCTGACAAGAGCTGGTTTCGGGGTGACCGTTGCGGAGACTGTTGAGGGAACGGTATCCCCTGGACGAGCGAGCGACTGACTATGCGACGATCGTCAATGCACCGCGGAATGGAAAAGAAGCGAGTTGACCGGGTGCTGACCGCGTGTTATGCTTGACCGGGTGTTGAAGGCGGTCGTGGCGGTAGAGGCTGGTGCGTCGGTGCAGGAAGAGCAGCAGCGAGTGGGCCGATTCGACTACTCTTCCCATCGCCAGCTGCTGCTTTCTCACGCGCGACAGCTCATCTGGACATGGAAGTTGCGACTCGACTCGACTGGCACCGTCTGTCTACACCCGATCGATGTCTGTCGCCATTTGATCGTCCGCAGCGACCACGCGCTGCTCACCAAAGCGATGGCAAGCAGCAGTGGTACCCCTTGCGCTTGCTCAAGTGCTTTCACGTCTATGGCAACAACGGCTCTGTGCATGCGACAAGCCGACGATCGATCAAGGACAGGGCATCGTCGTGACTGGCGCTGACCCGGCAGAGTTGACAGATCTGGTGCCGATCGTGTCCTGCAGTGCCCACCATCGCCATGACACCACTGCCACCACTGCCACTGTCCGTGCGTGGGTGTGTGTGTGTCTCACTTGCGGCTGGCCATTGTCATCGACTGAGTTGACTCGCACCACACCCCAGCGCGGCGTTCACTTTCTTCGCAGTGGACGCAGCAGCTCCACCAGTAGCGACTTGGAAGATATGAATCGACGTGCATGAAGTTCAGCCGTTGCTGGCGTAGAGCGACATATAGCACAGAGCTATTTTCGGTATACAGCCTGTGAAGTGTTTCTCGACATCAGGTGGTTGTTGACGCAACGCTGGCCGGGCGTGGGCGTCTCGATTGCATCCACCTTCGAGCGACCTTCGCGACAAACACTGATCCCAACCCCCGAATTTAATGCGATCTCAAAGCTGTTGGCAGTCACTGATCCAGTCGCCCTTTGATCGCGCGCTGGAAGACAGCCGACTCCATCATGTGGCTCAATGCGCAGACTCGAAGGATTGTCCGCCGAGCGGTCCGTGCAACTGCCTCGACACGTCATTGGTCTCCTCTCTCTCCCATCGCTGCTGCTGCTGCTGCTTTCTTCTGCCGAATCCAGTGGCGGTACCTCTCGAGCTGTAACTCGGCGTCTGAACTTCTGTTCGGAGACCTGTCGGGAACTCACTACCACCGCTTCGACTTTGGAATCATCTGAGCTGCCACAAGCCGTGCGTCGTCTTGGTATAGGACCTACGCGGTGGTCTCATGTATTCTCGACAAACTTCCAAGAGAAGTGTGGTGTCCGTCCTACTGTACTCATTGAGCATGTGCTCATTTTCTTTGGGTCTATATTCGCAAATGAGTGTAGCGGGCTGGAAGCGATCGGACGGCAGCTGGTCAAGAAGTTGAACGTTGCGTAGAGGAGTTGCGCAGTCGTGTCGAGCAGAGTCGAGACGAGGTGTGTTGTGTTATGCGAAGTTTCAATGGACTCGGGCTGGCGCTCACTGGCGGAATGCTGTGGCTGCGTAGAAGAACGCGGAGCGAGAACTTGAGCAGCTGTTACAGCTCTACGACACTCTGAAGCAACGCACGCAAGAAGGTAGAAGTTGTGTGCCGAGATCGAGAGAACGAGCGGCAGTTTGTCGATTGAAGCGGTTGTGTTGTTACGCTTGGTGCGTGCAGATTCTGATGTCTTTGAAGTCGCTTTCGGCATTGCGCGCGTGTATGACGACCAGCTGAAGGACAGCGCTACTGCAGTGCGATACTATGGAGAGGCACTTGCAGTGTTAGAAGCCATCTCATCAGAAGCAACGGCCTGGAGCGCGTACATGCGCGTGACTACACTCGGAGCCTTTGCACTGTGTCACGAGAACCTGTATGTGAGGTTTGCTGCCTGTGGCATACCCGAACTGCTTTGCTTGACCATCGTTTGTTGTGAACGTTAGTGGACAGCATGAGGAGGCTGAGACGTACTTCAACGACGCTATCGGTACATACAATGAGCACTGCGATCGAGCTGGCGCCTCAGGCGACAGCGAGGAGAAAGCGTCTGACGCGGATAATTCGCTCCTCGTAGACCTCAACGCCACGGCTGCTATGATTCACTACCACTTTGCTGGCAACTTGCTTGCTCAAGAGCGCTGGGATGAAGCCAGAACTGTTACTGAGATTGCACTCGTGCTGGCAGAAAACTCTGAAATGCCTTTGGAAGAGCTGGAAGAACTGCAGCATCACGTCCATGAATTGTGGCTAGAAATGGAATAAGTTGGGACTGCCATCGAGATTGACGGACCGAATGGCAATATGTTGTGTTTGTAGGATGATGGGACGGCGGGTTCATGACTTGCACTCTCACCTTTGCAACACGTCGCATCTGTTCCATTGTACGGGTATCGATACAGTCAATCCTAACGATGTTTGGCGAGGACTATATCTTCTAAGGTTACAATGGCGACTGAGTGCGACGTTGAAGCAGTATCGAACGCTCTCGTGGTCTCTCTTGTATCCGGTTTTGACAAGTCCGGACATGGGCTGTGTATGACACTTCTAGCGGCAACGACGACAGCTTTACGCAGACAATCGACAGCTGTGTTTGCAACGGTTACAAGTCATGTGTGTAAACTGCCGATTCGTAATTCACTCGTTGATGTTGTAGTTCACCTCGTTCGGCTTCACTTTGTCCAGAGTTACTTGTGAACATCTTTTCATACGCTAAATTGTTTTGCTTGATCAAGTGCCAGTACGCGCTCGGGTCGTTGCGAGCGAAGTCGACACGTCCGTGTGCGCAGCTTCTGCATCGACGAGTTGTGAGTGTTGTGATTTGGTGTCGTGCGTAAATACCGCACAAAGTCATCGGCCACCGCACGTCGATCGTAAACGCGTCACCAGCAACAACAATTGCAACGCCTACTTCTCCACCGGACAAATTGCCTACTTCTCCACCGGACAAATTGCACTGCAAGAATGCAGTGCTGCTGCCAAGTGAGTGAGTGAGAAGGTGAGGTGTATTACGCAGTGCTGCTGCTAAGCTGTCGATGCCACATCCACAGCTGCAGATGCCTTGACGTAAACGTGTCAAAGTCGCCACGAAAGACTGAGTGACATCATGTAACTGGACCGCCTTTGTGATCTCGGCACAGAAAGCAGAGCACTTCTCGGGTGCGTATTGTGTGGGTGAGCGATCGCGGTCCTCAGGCGCTCCCTGGCGCGTGTGCCCGACTGGTCCAGCAGAAAGAAGACGCTCATAGTGCAGCCACGACGTCGAGTTGCGCTCGAGAGTGCACATATGTCTTGAAACCCAAATGACCACGCGCGATGCCGACCTTCGAGTGTGCTGTCCCCCAAACGACCGTCCACTTGTGTCGGCAGTGCCGTTCTTCATATCCGTGTTAGTGGTTATGCCTCGCCGCTGGAAACGTTACCCGTCCGATCAATCGCTCATGCCAACACGACCTCACCTGCAGGAAAGCAAAGGTGGTCAGCGTTGTACCAGATGTTGTGTCACGCGACGCTTGTGATGGAGCCGTAATGCAATGTCCGAACCGCGGCACCTGTCCGATGCGAATAGCACTGTCCATCTCCATTCACCTCACGGCAATCGAGCAAGTGGCATCTGCTTCGATGGCAAGAGAAGATGGTGCCGCTAAAGCTGTGCACGTCCGACGCGTAATGTGCGCGACCTACGGATACAATTGCGTTCAACTGCGTAGCATCGCATTGCAGGCCGACGTATGCAGCGCACACTCCACAGACGCCTCCAGCCCAGAGGTATCAACAGCTCACCGTCGATCCATTGGACACAGCAGTCCGAAGGTATCTGCGTGCAAACATGAGCTGCAACGCTTCTTGAGGAACCGCTTCGCCGCTGCAATCGTGATGATTATCATTTGCGATCAACAGATCCGACTACCAGCAGCGACGTCGTTTGTTCGAGTTGCGAAGAAGTCGAGGGGTTTCCAGTCGGTACCATTCTGTTACCATCATCAGACCTCGACCGCCATCGTTGGCACATCCACCTCCTTCCCATCCGCTCTGTCGATACCGTCGAGTTGCTGCTCGGAGGATGGACGACATGCGTTTCACACGGTGTCCGACACCCCCTGCGAGAAGAAGCGCAAGTCGTCCGTCGGACCCATCCGACCGAGTTCTTGCCCGACGTGGTCGGGTCGGTCGCGCCTGGTCGTCCACACGAATGAGATACTCTGCGCGCGAACGGAAAAGGGCCTCATGGAACCGCTACTCGGGGCTCGACACGTAAACGTATTGCACGGCCACTGACAGAAAGATGCAGTTCGATCTGCTGCTGCTGCTGCGTGGGATGAGGAAGTTGACGACTCGCTCTGTAGGCGACAAGAAGCACGTGGATGAGGAGGTTTGAGAAGAGATAGACACCGTTTGCACGCTCTGAACGTCGACGAGCACTCGTGTTGGCGCTTGTGGTACCTGTTGCGAGATGCGAGAAGAGGAGAGACGAGGAATCTACGGTCACATGGACTGCGTGGTGGGGCAATGGGGTCAATAGCGACTGGCGGCCTGAGCTGGAAGGCAGCAGACCGGTCGAGCTGGTGGAACGTGACACTTCTGTGCAGTTGTGTCGAAACGTGAGTCAAGTGGAACACGAGTGTAGGCGTCGTATGTACAACAGACTGGAGATCCCGCAGCATCGTGGAGACACGTCCATGTCTGTTCGTCGGCCGATCGAACATGAGTTGGTCCACCAGGCAATCGGTTTTATGATTGCGCGACGTTGCGTCTGCTGAGCCCGTAGAGCACAAATGAGACGCTGACAGTGTCAATGCCGTCGCAAGCTCATCATCGCCGGTCGTATTCACCACACACATGACGCTCTCAGCAGTTGCATGGCCGGCAATAGCTCAGCGTTTCACGACGCAACAGTCAGCTTCGACCGCACGGTACAGCCGACTGTGTGGCCGTTGTGGACTCGAAGCGCTGTGTCTCCAGCTTGCAAAAAAGTCTGCGGGCCGTAAACTCTCGAACCTCAGACGCTCGTTCGTGACTGGGTGCGTGAATGCCAGCTTTGCAGCATGTAAACACAGACGCGAGGCACGGTGATACACGCGCTCGGGAGAGTACAACGAGTCGCCTAGAATCGGGTGACCCAGATGCTGCATGTGCAGTCGAAGCTGGTGGGTCTTGCCTGTCACGGGTGTGAGGTCCACCATCGTCGATCGCCAATCTTCTTGAACGCCATCAACTGCGCGAGATCGTACCCGATATTCGGTGAGCGACCAGAGCGAGCTCGAAGGATCGACATCATCGCGCTCTGGAGCGACCCGTTGGACAAGTTGTTGGCTCGGATGCTTCTCCATCGGTACCCTCAAGCACCTCGTCGACGCTGAGTCGTCCTCTGGATCGTCCATCCATCCATCAACTCGTGCCATGTAGACCTTCTCGACCGACCGGTCTCGGAATTGAGCGTTCAAACTCTGAGCTGCAGACTTCGTCAGCGCGACAACCAGCAGACCCGACGTTTCTTGGTCCAGGCGATGCACCATCCGTGCTTCCGGGTACACGTCCGCAATGCAGCGATGCACCGAAGGCAAAGCGCTGGCGTCCGTTCCATCCACGCTCAATACGTTCGCAGGCTTATCCACGACGACAAGAGCGTCGTCTCGAAACACGATCGTCAGCGGCAGTTGGGCACGAAGGGCCGCATCGACTGCCCCACTGGTTCGGCACTCTGCAAACTCGCGCACCTGCACCAGAATCCGGTCGGGTCGAGCGCCCAGAGCGACGTCACTCACGTCAGGCAGCCGTACGCGCACAATGTGGCGATACGGTCGTCGACTGAGCTCCAAATTGAGTGCATCGACGCACAGCTCCGCCAGTTTCCGAGGATCGTCAACAGTCGAAATGTCGGACACTTCCGATAGCTCGGACTTTTCTGAGGCGACTGTCGTGTGCACCGCAATGACATCCGCGTTCCTGCAGCTGAACAACAATCGGAGCGCTAAGTCGGAGCTGTAGACACTTCCCACGGGCTGCAGTTTGGGCATTTGCTTCAGTTGGACGAGTCGTTTGAGACTGAGAGTGGATCGACCGGAGGCAGTGACTTCCGAGCTCTCCGATGATGTAAACGCGTCCACTGGTAATCGCAGCGTCTTCAGTGCTGAGACCACCAAGTGGTGCATCTCGCGGGTCGTCTCAGCCGACGTGGCGCTCGTGGCCACAGCCTCACGTCTTCTCTCGGGTCGCATGGTCCGTTCGACTTTGCGGTCCTGACCATTCGAGGGTACTTTGCTCGTACGACCAGCGACGGTGGACGACGGACACGAACTCGTCAATTGTACGGTCGTGCATTGCTCGGTACCGCTCGATCGCTTGCAGAGAGGGGAATGGCAAAACAGTTTGCGAATACATTTGCACCGAAGTTTGATCAGCAACGCTCGGTCAAGCAGCACAGACATCCGATAAACCGTCGACGTGTCCAATCTGGACGGACACGTAGACGAATGGACTCGATCCGGTCATCCATTCTTCGTTTGGACTCGATCCGATCTCGGCTCGGTTTCTGGAAAAACGTCCGTCCGACACTCCATGCAGATCATTCTGACAGCACACGGCCTGCCTTAACTCAGCTGGTCCACTCTTCTTGATCATGCAGATACACGATGCAGTCGATGCAGGTCGTCACGTGGTCACACAAGCTGACAGAAGATAGTTTCGAGATCGAATGGCCATAACCTACTTGGCAATATCGACCCCCAACCTGGCAACGGCAGTACCGCTCGCATCGTCTGAGCATCAAACGAATGCTCTCGTACGCAAAACCTTCGTAGCCACTGCCACTAGGTACCATGGGGTGACCCTACACCGAGCCTTGTTGTTCGTAGGTCCCGTTCGTACAGGACGTGGACTGTAGACGACACCGATGGATTCCGACGTACGTGGGGACGTACTGCCGGTATACCATCGGCAAAGGACCTCACTAGAGTACAGACCAAGCGCTGTTAGGTTCCGCTGTGCTTGCAGACTGCTAACATTCACTATGGGAATCGACGACAGCAAAGGAAGTGGAGTTACCGTTCGCAGCTCGAACGCGTCACACTCGCTTTGCCTTCCACGACGTAGAGACTATCCAGCTATCCGGTATACGTCGTATAGAAGCGCCGCTATTCGATGTCTCTGACGCGCGGTATCCGCCACATCTATTCGCAGCTCTACCTGCGCAAACGACGGTATCTATCGCCGTCATCGTTAGCGCACCTCTATCCCATTTCTAATCAATCGTCATAGAACACCAGAGACCCCGACGTCTCACTTCATCGTCACGCGATGGTACGTCGATCGTTCGTCCCTGTCTTGTCTGCCCGGCCCCCCACCTTCCACCTCTCTCTCTCTCTCTCTTGTCCCTCTCTCTAATACGACGTGTCGTTGACGTTCTCTGCTGTAAATGTCCAGCGGATCTTCCGGCGCTTCCCGTCGCAGCACTCGGACTTTGTCCACGACATGAGCTTTGACTATTACGGCAAACGATTGGCCACGTGCAGCTCCGACCGGAAGATCAAAATCTGGGAAGAGCTCGGCCACGAGTGGCGGCTCGAGTACGAGTGGAACGCGCACCAGGCGAGTGTGTGGAAGGTCGAGTGGGCCCACCCTGAGTTCGGCCAGATCTTGGCCTCGTGCTCGTTCGACCGCACGGTGTCGATTTGGGAAGACCAGGGCATGTACTTGAACGCCGGACAGGGCGCCGTCTTGAGCAGCGACGCAGCGACGGCCAATGGAGGAGGAGCTCCAGCAGCGATCGCAGCGGGGACAAAGGAAGGGTGGCGCAACCAGGCGCAGCTCGTGGACGCCAGAGACTCTGTCCACGATGTCAAGTTCGCCCCTCGACACCTCGGGCTGCGTCTCGTACGTGGCCAATGGCAGAGACATAGTGCTGGTTTGTTGGTTGACCTCACGATGTGGCTCGAACGTGCTGCTGTCGTTGGTGTGGCAGGCGACCGCGTCCGAAGACGGCTTTGTGCGCATGTACGAAGCAATTGACGTGATGAACTTGTCGCACTGGCCGCTGCAGGAGGAGTTTCTGGCTGACAAAGACGGTGCGACGTGCGTGTCGTGGAACAAGTCGCGCTTTGATGTGCCCATGACCGTCGTCGGTGGCAACAGCGACGTGGCCAAAGTCTGGGGATACAATAACTCGTACCGCAGGTGGCAGGTCGTTGCCGAACTTGTGGGTCACACGGACGCAATCCATGACGTGTGTTGGGCGCCCAACATGGGTCGCTCGTCGCATCTACTGGCGACGGCCAGTAAGGACCGCACAGTGCGCATTTGGCGGCTGACAATCCAGGCAGACGACCACTTGCAAGCCGATGTCAAGGAAGTTGCGCGCAAGCACCACCATGACTCGGAGGTCTGGCGTGTTGAGTGGAACATTACCGGCACCATGCTAGCATCTTCCGGCGACGACGGTACCGTGCGCATGTGGAAGAGTGACTTTGAGGGCAATTGGGCGTGTGTCAACACCATCTGTGGAGACTTGGGCCCTGCCGCGGCGCCGCCTCCGATGGACTTGTGAACGAGTGAGTGTGACTCCACACTTGTTCTGGTTCACACACACACACACACGTATACACTCGTTCTGGTGGATGCGGTATGGTGGACGCAAGCAAAGCAGAGGCACGACGTGACGACGGACTTTGGGTGGATGTGAAAGACGGCATCGGTATGCTACGACGACATGGCCTTCGCGACTACAGTACAACAAGTACTCAGCATGGCCTCAGGAGTCCTTCAGCGTGTCGATCCAGTTGGCGACACGTGCTCGTCCCACTGGCGTATCATCGTCAGCTCATCGTTCGAAGCTAAGAATGACGACGGGAACAACGTTTGGGTCAAGTTACAACGCAGTGGCGTACGAGAGCATGAGCTTTAGGCAGTTGGAATTTCCAAAGGAACTTGTCTGGGTATTGTGACATTGGTAAACGTCCGACTGTGTCGTCGCCGGCGAACACGTCTCTGGACAGATAGCGTGTTGCCATCGTATCTATCTGTCCACTTGCTTTTCTTGATCTTCCATTTGAATCTACCGATTGTCCCATTCAACTTCCTGCCTAATAACCTGTCCAGTTATCAATATATCTACCAGTCGATTGACCTTCATCGATTTACCTTTCTAATCTAACCATCTATCTATCTATCTATCTATCCATCTATCTATCTATCCATCCATCTATCCATCCATCTATCTATCTATCTATCTATGTATGTTTTACCTGGTCATCTTTTCAAGGCAGGTGGTGTCTGGTGTCTATCAAATCATCCAGCTACGACGTATTTATTCTCGTTATTCTCCAATGCTGTCCACCTCTCCGTCCAGCTATCGTCATCTATCTCAGAATTGCCATCACGCCGTCTTCTCACCAGACGAAGTGAAGGCAATCAATCACATCACTTTTCCGAGCCCCTAAACTTCCCGCACATTCACTTACACGCAAACTACTTAACTCTAAGCTCCATCAGCTTCGCGGTCATTGGTCCATTTCCGACCTCTTATGGCTACACGACTCTCGCGCCCGTTGCTGCGCCGCGTGCCGGCCACGTGCCCTTTAACGGCTCCGGTGACAACCTCAGCCGCCCAACTGTCCTCTCGGACCTTCGCCAGCGCCAACGAACGCTTTGACGAGTCACTCCCGCGAGACTTTCGGCGCTGGCTGAAGGCCGAAGTCGCGTTGCTCGTCTGTCTGGCAGCCGCTGGAGCTGTTGGCGTCCACTTGTATCAGGTGCAAAGGCCCAACGACGCGACCGGGTCGAAAAAAGTGATTTGCAACGACTTTGTTTGCGAATTGATTTGTGCTTTTTATGTCACGCTTTTGTGCGTGCAGAACCGCAGCAATGCGCCAGTGAATCAGGTCGAGCGGCTCGTGGAAGCAGCGAAACAAAGTGCACAGGAGGTGGGCGAGTTGTGGCTGCTGCAGAGTCGAAGAGGGCGTTTCTGACGATCATATGGCGTCGCGACTGGTGGCGGCGGCGCTTTCGATGGTATGGCGATAGGAAGACCGCGAACAAGCGCTCAAGCATTGTCTACACGCGTACGACGTCGTCAAGCGCACGAATCCGAAAGGTCCGTGATGCTTTTGGTGCAACAAGCAGTCGAGGGGCTCACGCTCTGTGCGCTCCAATGTACGGCAGATCGCCACTTGTTTGAGCTCGCGTTCGCCATTGCTGCGCAATACGAAGACTTGGAAAGAGGCGCGCCGGCAACAAAGTACTACCTCGATGCGCTGGAGCACACCTCGCACGAAGCAAAAGTCGCGAAAAGGGAGCGGAACCGCGTCATTACGCTCGATCGCATTGCGCAGTCTTACATGAACAGGTATGTCTGCATTGAGCTTGTCTCGTCTGTGTATACTAAAGGCTCTTGGTGCTCGCTCTTCTCCAACCAGAGGGCATGGCGAGACTGCAGAGAGGTACTTCAGACAGGCTATCAGTGCGTACGATCAAAGTCGAGGACGACGAGCGATCTCAAAAGTTTCGACAAGCGATCGTGCAGATCTTGCGGCACTGGATCGAGAGATCGCCGCGGTGCTGTTCAACTACTCGCAGCTGATGATGGCGGATAAGCGCTTGGACGAGGCTGGAAACGTGTTGCAACGTGCCTTGCGCCTCGCGCGCTCGTCCTTGTTGTCCGAGGAACACGCTGATCTTATCAAAGGTGCCATTGCCACCGTCCAGTCAGCCAAGGCAATGGAAACAACACGTGTGGAACCAGACGAGTAGTTTTATGGAAGCAGTGTCCACAACGAGAGCGTGGACGTATGCAGACCGACAATCGCGAAGCTTGCGAGCTATATGTCAACGCTTATCGTTCTTGCACTGCTTTATCGATCGTCCAATCTCAACTGCTCATTATGTAAAGTTCAGGACCGGTTGAGTGGGACTTGGGCGCGAAAAAAGGCACATGAAAGACAATGAAGGATGATTACTACCACGTTATTGAAGTAGCAGCTTTGTCCGTTTGTGTAATATATGCAAAGGCACGAATGTCTCAGTCGATCAACACAAGCAATGCAATATTCGCATCAACAGAGTTATTTTTCTACGGTAGTATCACGTACTCTGTGTTTCAGCATGAACACTTGTGCTGTGAACCACCTTCAGCGCTCAAAAACCTCTTATCGCACGTCACAGTACGTAAAGACACTTTGGATTGTGCTTCAACACGTCTTTGCCATCGAACGCGTCGATACGCCTGGTACGTCTTTTCGTTTGAGTCAGCATCAATGAATGAATGATGTGAGGAAGCCGCATATTCCGACTTTTGACAGTGAGCTGGACATCCAATCAACACGATGAAATTCGAGTCCACAGGCATTGAATGATACCTCATACATGCTCCAATATTGGTCCGCTCTGTAACAATTGAGCCCCTTACATGAAACTGGCGTTCACATGAATGTCAACGTAAACGCTACTTTCTCGACGAGCTTCAGTACGAGCGAGTAGATACACTGTTCATTTGTAGGATATAGGCCATGATGGTAGTCTACCAATTCAGAAGAGACGCCTGCGATGAGTGGTGAGCGATTTTAGTATACGCATTTGTAGTTGATAGTTCTCTGTTCTAGGTACAAGATCATCTGTCGTCAGGACCCTAGCCATGCTGAATCCGGCTCCATCATTTACTTCGAACAACATCTTCGATTGCTGTGTGCGTTTCTTTTTCTGCTTATTGTTGGAATTTGATCGCTTTGTGCCGCCTCTCTGGCGTTACGAAAGGAAGACGCAATGCAGCGATTGACGCCGGCAGTTGTATCTAGCTCTCGCCGGTCCAACGATCGACAAGTTAAGTTAAGCTCGCTTGGTTTGGCTCGCCAAACATGGCTTGCCAATTTCGGCTCGCTGGGCTCGACGCTGAGTTCGGCCCGCCATCTAACACACTTGAGGTACTTATAGGGAAAGTAGGAGAAGGACTGAGAGCCACTCAAGTGGATTCCGCGAAAATTCAAATCACAATATAACCATCCTTTGGGTGCAAAGCGCTCATCTGGATACTCGTAAAGCGTGCGTGAGCTTCCGGGATGAGTTTCGTCGACGATGTTGTTAGCGTATTGACAAGAGAGAAGTGCTCATGTCGCTAGATTGCACGTCGTTGACGAAGCTTAATGTCATAACTGTGGCGTTCGGTTCTAGGCAAAAGCGATCACAAGACCATGGTACTAGGTTTGGGCAAAACAGTTACTCCGCTATGCTAGTCATACTCCTCAAACGATTAGATACTCCCTGGATCCACGCATATGTAAACATATGTTTAATTGGCCGACCATCGTTTCGACTTCGCACTGAGCGGTGATTGTGTTTTGACCGCGTGATCGCCAAAATGACCACTGAGTAAGTCGGCAAAGGCGGGCTAGTATGTAGTGACGCAATCCCTTCGCGGTGCGCTCTTTCTTCTTTCGTTGTGACTTTCAGCTAGCAACATGTCCGTGAGAGCGCTTTACAAAAGTCTTCCTGCGTTCAGCAAGTATGTTCTTCACAATCGCGTCATTTCATTCTTGAGGTGGGCGTCAGCACTTTGCACGCTGTTGAATGCCGCCGGGCGAAGTATTCGACCGAGTAAAAGCAGGAAGGTTGCTTTGGCTGACTCCCAAAGGATGGTCGCTCGACGACAAGTTTTCTCATCTTGAGGCTTCTCTTGTCCAGCTCCAATACAACTTCATTGCTTTACAATTCTACCTTTATCGAAATACGCTCGGTACCCCAAGGTCCAGCGGCAGGTATATCACAGAATGTCTCGGGACCTAACGCTTGCTTTTGCACACATCGGATAGACTAGAATTTCGGATCTGCTACTTGTTTTATCTCCGTTGTTATCACGGGCCACATGTACGCCCCTCTGTCCTTCGTCTACATGTGATGTACGTATATTGCATAGCAAAACATACAGTTGAATTGCAGCATCCTCAGCTGGTACTCATGCATGTCATTGTGGCACACTGAGCATTCAACCGCCGATTGTTTGCTTACCGACACTTTTCCTCACAAAGTGTTTGCCAGACGATACCTGTATCGGCGTCAGGCCAAACCTACCGAGTCACTTCATCACAAGACCAAGAACGATGTGCATTTGGAGCTAACAAGAAATCAGACCCTGTCCGACGGTGGGTCAATGAACAGTAGATTGACATGTATGAACAGGGTAATTCAAAGAATCCAAAGCTGTCACGGTACTGGATTGCCGATCTTTGTTGAGGACATCTTTTTAGTGACGTCGTTTCGAAGAGTGTTTAGCGACCTTGACCAGCTGCTTAATCGTTTACGCGAATGCAGAATTAGCACCTTATCATAAAGGGCATGTTTGTTTAGCCTCAAGCAGAAATTTTTCCACATAAAATCAATGAACAAGGCATGGCAGCCACCCAGCAAAATTTGCGGTCGCTGCTATGCTTCCTCTCCTTGCAACAACGATAGTAATGGAGAAATCTCTTGGATAACTCATCGTTATGGTCAGTTTATCCAGAACTTGGCGTAGATGTGGCAGTCCTTTTAGATCTCAAGAATGAAGACCTCACAGACGCATCGATCTTGACGGCACTTACGCGCTGTCATTTTGCCTCGACGCAAGATGCTCTTGTGATGATCTCTGACAAGGCTTTGGCGTTGAGCATCACTCCGTAGTCCGTTTCACAATGACGAGATGTACCAGTCTGTTCTGCGATCGCTTGTTGAAGGAGAGCGGAGTAAAGTATTACTAGACAGAATGAGAAGTGTTCGCGTCGCTGAACATATTAAGGATTACACATACCTTACCGAGTGAAAAAAGTTATCTATGCATGCATGCGTTTCTCTGATCTTAAGTGAAAAATTCTACTCAATCTTTACATGGTAGCGCGGTCAGTTTTGAGGTCTTAGTAGCTTCGTACCACTTGGAGAGTGAGCGAGTCAGATGACGTGACCTCGACTTTGTCCAGCAGCTGCAGGCGTCAATACCTCCGGCCATAGGAATCAAGGTATCACTGCGTCATATCGTACCTCCTTCTACAAATTCGAAGAGTGTCCGACTGGACTCGAAGTTGCGATATGCGCATGTGCTGAAGATGTTCAACGAATTAGTGGTGTCATTCGGCGGGCCCACCACAAGGGGGAAACGCGGCGTATCCGGAAGTCGTGAATGGATATTGTGATATTACCGAATTGAACTATTTTGATTAGTACGATCGATTGCCCATCATAGACGAATGTCAAACTGGTCGATCGTACTGTAATGAGCGGCAGTTGTCAAGCCACACAATATCACATTGTCTCCGACTTTATTGCGGGTGACTCCAGTACCACGATCCAGACAAATTTAAAATTGATTGAATGTTCAAAGGATTCGTTTGCAGCAACATTGGCGCAGTCCGCAGAACTCGTAAACGAATTTAATTTATTTCCGTTACATGCGCGTGGAGCGCTGTTATGATACCACACCTTATTCGTTGGATGCCGAGTCGTTAAAGGAAAAAGCGGGATATTCTGCGATCGATAAAGCGCGATTTAAGAGGTTGAGGACGTTAAAAGGCAAATAGGACACATTTTTGCGGATTACAAATTGACGAAAAGGAACTCCGGCTGTGTCCGTTGCAACATGTAGTAAAACTCGCCGAGCTCTATTTGCCGACCCGCCGCTTGACGAACGAAATAACGCAACAGAGGATAGTTTTTTTGGGAAAACAAACCGGCAACCCGGTCGGCCGAATTCTAGTGAGCGGTTACAAAACTCGATAAAGTGGCCATTTAGGTATTGTGTGCACTTGCAACAAAGTCAAGACTGGCCATAACTGAATCGAGGTAAATGCCGATGCGACTAGACATGTACGGTACTGCGAGAATTTAGAGAACAAACAAGTGAAAGCCGATGCTAAAAGACATTCACCGGAAACTTTTGTTTTCTCACAACGGCAATTTAAGGTGGTATCATTGTATTTCTACATCGCGCTCCCTAGTACTATCGATCGAGCACGGCAATAGTTTGGTCCAAGATCACGCTACCGGGGTTTTCATTTTAAAAATGCGATGTATGACACGGGAGACCTGGAAGTGGAGGACAGCCAAAATAGATATAGCTTTTAAGTCTCACTCGTCATGGTCGAAGCGTCAAACTCAGGAGTGGAATATTCCATCCTTTTGCCGAGATGTTGCAGTCGACGTCAAGAGCCACAATCAGCCACAACTTGCAGGCAAACGGCAGCAATAATGGAATGTTGGTCATATGATATAGATGGTCCAAGTGTACGATTATGCACGATGCAGGCTGAGTGGGATGCAATCACGGGAAATGTAGTCCAAACTATTGACAACGCGAGATATTCCGAAGACAAATGAGAAGCCTTTCTGCTTTTATCTGGTACAAGAGCTATATTCTCACTCCAAGGTAAAGGTCCGTAAAGAGTCAATTAGGCGTCTCTAGTAAAACAAGGTAGCGGTTGACTCATCGAAACCATATGAATGAAGTCTCGAAGCTAGCTAACAGTGAGAGGCTACTATTATGCTGGAGACAGACTACTAGACGAAGTTAATGGCACGACGAGCACGATAAAACGAAAGGTAAGCCGAGTGGCTACAACAAATAAGACAAGAAGTCATCGTCAGCAATTGAACTAAGCAGAGGGTATTCATCAACAAAAATGGGTAGAGAGAAGCCGACTAAAGTTCGTATGACGCAACCGGACACTTATCGAAGCAAAAGACCTAGTGTGGTTGTTTATGGATTGCGTTAGATCTGAGATGACGAGAAAACT